ATAATGTGATTTCTAAAAGTAACAGTCACTGTTTGTTTTTCTGCATTGAGTACTTACTACTTTAATACTTTACGTACATTTTCCTTATTACTTTTACTTAAGTAACATTTTCAATGGAGTACTTTTACCTGTAACAGAGTATTTTTACAGGGTGTTATTAGTACTTTTACTTAAGTAAAGGATCTGAATACTTTATCCACCACTGTATCAATATTGGAAACATATTGTATGTTATACATATTTCATATCAACTTCAACCAATTATCTGCCCTTATACTTATTATTATTATTATTATATCACTGAATGAAACCTGACGCTACATGACAAACTTTCAGACATGCCCTAATCAACCAGTAATATACAGCTGGGACTCAGTTTGTGTGGGTGTGTGTATGTGAGTGTGTGTTAAACTAGAGCGAGGGTGGTAGGGGTCCTAGGCAGGAGCCTCTGCTTGTCCTCCATGAAGGAAATGCTCTTAAACCTGTTCACTGCCAGCAGACATTGATAACCCTGGAATACACACATACACAAACTCGATGATGAACACAAACACCTGGATGTACATGCAGACAGAGGATAAGTTTACACACAGACATGATGATGAATACAAACACACTGGATATACACACAGACATGGCAGGTTTCACACATAAACATACAGACCCAGGTAAGGATGGAGAAGAAGCAGAAAGCGATGGTGGCTCGGGCGGCGTCGGAGCCCTGGGCCAATGGCAGCTCTGGGAAGTAGCCTGCCACTGATTGGCCAGAAAACAGAAGCCAACGAACCACAGGAAGCTGGCAAGACCTGGAGGCGGGACACAGAGGAGTCAGAAATGGTCATTGGCATTATCTCTTAAATCTCTTCTTTCAATATACTTCCATCAGAAAGCTTATCCTGATTTTATGACTTTTTTAAAACTTGAATTATTTTTTATTTCCTTAAATATCTTTGTTTCATAACATTATTTTTATTATTTTTGAACAGTGGTAAAAGACTGTGAAGAAGTTCTGTGAAGCTCTACTTAGTTACAACACTACTTTGAGCCAACATGCTAACAATGACAATGCTAACATTAACAGGTAGAATTTAACCATCTTAGTTTAGGATTTTAGCAGGCCTATAATTGCTAATAAAAGAAAGTACAGCTGCGGCTGATGGGAATGTCAGTTTTGGTTTGTCATAAATCGAAGTATTGTACAAGTGTTGTACAAATGAACATATGATGATGGTGAAGGTGATGGTGCTAAATTAAAAGTCAGGTGATTCCCGAAAGGTTTCATCTTCTAGGGACCACAAATGTTTGTACAACATTTTGTAACAATCCATCTAGTAGATTGCAAGGGATACGAGAAAATGTTGACATGCCGGTGACTTTAAAGTAAAAGTCAGAGGATTTTGTCATGTTGTCTGTTTGAGGTTGCCAGATGGCCAGCAGGGACTCTAGGAAGTCACTTTTACACTTTAGTTTTCATATGGATTAGACAAAGAAGATAAAACATGGTGGTTTGTGAGTTTTGAAGAAGCTTGAACGTGGCTTTTGTTACCACTGGACAGAGCAGACTGTTTCCCTCTGTTTCCAGTCTTTGTGCTTAGCTAAGCTATCCTGCTGCTGGCTGTAGTTTCTATTTACTGTACAGACATGAGGGTGCCTTTTTGTATCTACATAGTTTATAATATTTGTTGAACAACAGTCCATAATATTTGTGTGTATATGTACCAGAGAAGACGAGGTCCAGCAGGACAGCACGTCTTCTGTCCTTGATGCTGCTGATGGAGGGAAAGTAAATGTCCAGGATCAGGAAACGATGCTGCCGAGGAAACAGGCCCGCCCACAGTGACACCGTAGTTACAGGCATCAGCGTTGTTGTTGAAGACGCAGAGCAACGCTCGCTGCCGATGTTGAGTAGCCCTCGTTCACGATGCAGCTGAACACCACCATGGAGAAAATCTACAGGGAAAGACATGTGGGCCGATTTATTATCTAACGAGTGAAGAGAATGAACTCACACTGGAGTATGAATGCCTTCATTCCTCATGCATGCCACACACACCACCACTTCAAGACACAAAGATATACTTCTCTTCTCTAATTATGTAAGCGTTTAAAAGTTTTTAAACGTTTTCCCAAGTATTATATAGCCATGCAGATAGTTTTCGGGTTAATCATTTTTTTTTTCATACAAAATACATTCATAGGTTTCAGCTTCCCAGTTGTGAGGATTTTCAGCGTCATATAATTGTAAATTGAATATCTTTAAGTCTTTAAGCTTTGTGCTGTTGATCTGACAAACAAAACATTCAAATACATTACTTTAGGTGTTTCGGAAATTGATGGACATTTTAACTATTTTCAGACATTTCTTAGAGCAACGAGTGGATTAGCTGAGAAAACAATCACCAAACCTAGCAATAATTAAATGAACACTCAAGTTATCTCACATTTTATAAACCAACAGTGTATAAATACTTTGTTACAAGTAAAAGTCCTACATTCAGAATTTTACAAAAGTATTGGAATCAATAATATACCAGTAAGAGTAGAGTACCAAAATTAAAACAGAATGTCCCATTTCAGACTAATGTATATTATATCACAGATATTAAGCAGTATAGCTTAATCAATAATAATACATCCTTTGTCGATTTGCATGTTGTGTTAACAATCTGAATCTGCAAAATAACAAGTAGGCCTAATGTCAAATAACTGTAATACAGTAAAAGTACAATACTGTTTTCCAAAATGTAGGGGAGAAGAAGTGCAAGGTACATAACATGGAAATACACAAGTAAAGTACAAATACCTCAAAATTGTACTAAATTACAGTACTTCAGTAATGTAGGCCCACTTAGTGTCATTCTGCCACTGCTGGCCTGTTCCACATTGTAATATCATCATCATTGTAAGTTATGTTCTTTGTTTTAAGGAGAACGCCAAATTGTTTGTGCCAAATCATGTTAGACTGAACAAACACACAGAGAGACAGAAGACAGACAGAGTGTTTCTGTTAACTTCCTCTGCCTCCTCTAAAACCAAAGTGTTCCTTCAGTGCAGATTAAAGCTGTATGGTGACTCAGAGCTGCACACCATCACACCAGAGAGACGAGAGAGAGGTGTTGCATTCCGGTTAGCGGCATTTAAATCCAAAGCGCTCACATGAGCTCAATCCAGACACAAAAGAGGCCCCAGATAAACATATGGTAATTTGACGCTGGCCCTGAATCTCCAGAAGCTGCATCACTCAAATGATTTCTGTTTATTGAGCTGAAATGAACAGCACAGCAGAAATTTAACAACAACAAAATTGAGCAGTTTAATACAAATAGCCTACTAATATAATAATCCTGACTGGATAAAAGACACAAAAAGCGAGAGACACAGATAATGTGAATGAAAGAGAGACAGGCAGGGGGGATGGTGTGCAGGAAGGTAGGCCTGTCCATTGGTATCAAACCACACGTTGCAAAGGAGGCTTACCCACGACATCAGTCTCAGGATGGTCCGGGGATGCGTGAAGAACGCGACCGGATCGAAGGAGAAGCTCCCTGCCTTCCCGGCGCCATACGCGCCCGCTGCCTGCATCCCTCCGGCTTTCTGCTGCCAGCTGAGAGAACGAGAGGAGACGGTCAGAGCTGCGCGCAGCGGCGGCGTCCTGTAGCCTCCGTGTGAAGTCACACCGCGTCACTGAGAGCAGATCACTGGCTGCACCGCAGAATTAACTGGCAGTGCTCATTATAGGTTGCATTTAATAGTGAATTTATCCCATTGCTGTGTGCCCAACCTTGTTTATGTTTTTTGTTTATATTTTAAGCTTATAAGAGGATGTTAATTATCTTTTTTTTCTAAAAGAAGATATATGTATGCTAAAGCGAGCCTATGCTAACCTAAATTTCCCATGCAAGCTACTGTTGGGGATGGGGTTTTTGTCAGTAGGACTATTATCATTTATCAACTCCCAGTGGGCCCATATCAATGGTGAAAGAAGTACTTAAGTAAAAGTAGTATTACCACAGCATAGAAACAAATAAAAATCATGCATTAAAAAACATAATATAGACAAGTGCCACAAGTAAAATGCAATGTCTCATTTCAGAATAATGTAGGCTATATTACTTTATTGGATTAAAATTATTGATGCATTAATGTGTACATCTCTTTAATGTTACAAAAGGTAGAGCAAAATGTAACTTTCTATACTTCTGTGTAGCTTCATCCATTACAACACATTGTAATGTAATTTGGCTTTTACGAACATTACTCTTACTGGAGAAAATAGTTTATTTGTTCTGGACTATTTTCACCGGCAGATACACTTTTGGTGCATTTGTGAGTATTATAGTCTTTGTTCATGGTAATGAAAGAATGTGTCATCCAGAGCAACAGTGTAGTTCAATGATGTGTTTTTAGTAGTTTCTGGACAAAAATTAAGCTCCATGACATGAGCCACAATCAGACCAGGCCACACAGACAACACTTGTTAATAGGATCAATTCATTTTTGGTTTTGGTCTTATCACGGGAAATGTTGACAACAAAAATAAATTGAATATCACCAGCCTTATTCTATAATATAATCGCATAGCATGAACAAACTTTTCTATAGGAATCCTTTAAATTTGTTTTTGTTTTTTAAAATGGGGGCAAGATATGTACTGAACAGGCTATTTTACCGTTCAAGAATACACTTGTTACTGCTCTCTGGTGGACAAGTGTCATGGAGACATTGTTTCTAAATTACCTCAAACATATCTTTGGCATTTCTTTACTGCAATGTTTTAGTAGCAAATATGAAATATCTATGTTAAGATAAAATCAGCCGATAATTTCAATCATGCTGATATATCGGTCGAGCTCTTTATTACTATATTATTCATTGTTAGGTTATACTTTTAAGTCATGGATCTTTTTAACTTAGCTGCTGCTAAGTCTTCTTCAACTTTGAATTCCCATGATCAATGACAAGAACAGAGACTCACTGTTAAATAAAAAGTCTCACCATCATGAGAGTTTGTAAGTGAAGACTTTATTAGATTTGATTGACCAGATGCTTATTGACAACTTGGTTGAGTAGATAAAACCTGATACATGTTTAGAAAGTACAGACTGAAAGGTATACCACACACACACACACACACACACACACACACACACACACACACACACAGTGTACTCTCTTTGTTTTTGGATTAAAGCTCATCTTTGGATTTGTTGGCTTTTTTTGCCTCTTCAGCTTTTATGGCCTCGATGTACTTCCTCCTGTCTTCATCCTCCTGGAGACACAAAAGAAAGAAGTTTATTTTTAACACAGAAAAAAGGCAACATTCAAACACACACACAGTCAAACCACGGCAGTGGTGTTTGTGGGGCAGAGTAATAAAGGAGATAATTTTACCTTCACTCTGTCTTTTTTGGCTTTCTCCATCTCTCTATCTACAAACTTAACCAGGTCCTTCAACTTCCTCTTACCAGGGTAAACCAGCATCTGACAGGAACACAGATTTCACAAACTGAACATTATTGCATCAATACATGTCAAGTTTCCCCCACATAGCAGGGGTAAGGCATATAATCTGCACATTTTTCAGCAGTCATTTGACAATAATTTGCTCCTTTAAAGGTGGGATATGTGATTCTAATCCAATACAGTCTTGTTGTCAAAGTCCGCGAATATCTCCTCCTGGCCTGGGAGATGGCCGTTCTGTCGATGTGATGGGAAAAAAATCTGGTGCTTGTACACAGATGTGGCTCTGTAAATGGGAAACAAACAAAGTGGCTCGAATTGAGCCACACAACAACACTATTCCAGCAATGATTTGTATGTACATTTCCGAGCTACTAAGCCCTTACACCACTGGGCAGCCTATTAAGTCATTTAACCATAACCTATTGGCTATACTGAGTGCCAAGCATATAACCAAAGACGATCTCCCCCCTCCCATTAGATCAGTTGAGTATGTTCCCTCTTTCAGACATTTTATAACAACCCACTTCTTTGGGTTAGCTTTTGCGATAATGGTGTGCTATGAAAGGTGTCTGGTAGCTGTATGCGTTCTGTGGTCATATGTGCGGGTATGTGAATGAATTAAAAAAATGTTTTTCTTGCATGAGTTTGTGTTTTTATTTTTAGGTTTGATATTAAAGTACAGCGCTTTGTAACCTGTGTTAAAAACTGGTATACAAATATAGTTTTACTTGCTTACTCTGCATGTTAGCTCTAGAGCCGCAACTGTAGTGACAGTTGGCTAACCCACAAGTGAGCTAACGTTAGTTACATCACTTGCCGTGTCATTGGATCCATTTCATAGTATCATGGTCATGGTACTGGATTTCTTCAGAATCGCATACCCCACCTTTAATGCATAAAACTCACAGGGATATATTACAGTATTTCTATCCTCATTTATGTTATGTATGTTTTCATTTCTGTAAAAAATTTATAAATAACGCAACCACAGTCACCCCATAAGAGATTGTGTCATTAGAGTTGGAATAGATTGATAGTTCATTCAAAACAAGTTTGCAGTCATCACATTAAAAATACTGTTACACTGTAAACAGAAAATACTTAAGATAAAAAAAAGAATAATTGAAATTGCTTCATACTCTTTCAGCATATAGAGCAGGGAACAAACAGAGTGATGGGTAGGTGCCCTGCATTGACATGTTGATGTCATTGGCTGAGGCATCGATGCGAGCAATGACAATGTCTTCTCGATCCTTCAAGGTCTCAGCTAACTCCTCCCAAAGTGGAAACACAGCACGTGACTCCTGACTGTAGGGAAGATCTGAAATAGAAGTTTAGTATAGATTATCAGTCAGTGCTGTTTTGGGAACCATGTACAGCTGAACCAAAGCTGTGGTTACAGGCTTGTCAGGACCCGCCCCACTCTGCTTCTGATTGGCTAGTAGTCCTAACTAACAAAGATCAAATAGAAGTGAGATGCTTCACTCCATAGCTACAACAGAGAGTTTAACACACAAGGGGAAACGAGGTGCTGCAGCAATGTGCGGTATTACAGAAAATATGGTATGTTAAACATGTAAACCTATACTGGTACAACCCTGTAATAAAATTATGAACCTGAAAATGACCATAATATGGCCACTTTAAGTTATTGTGGCAAAAGTGTTAGCAAGCAGTTTTTCCATTTACACATTCAGCAGACATGGAGCAACATCATCATTCATTTAGGGTCGTGTTTCTGGCCACCTGACGAGTCCAATGTACAAACTCTCCTTTTAACTCTTTTTCGGGCTCCACCAACTCAAGGGGAAGTATCTGGCTCTTTAGCTGCTAAATGCTCCAGTGTGTTCATCAGCTATTGGTGATGCTGAGCAGATAGAGGGTATACAACAGCTACCTGCTAGAACGTTGTTGATGAGAGCAGTGAGAGCAAACTGAAAGAGTAAAGTTGCGGGCTGGAAAATCTAGACAATTGAGGGGAACTGTAGAGTCAGGTGATAATTCTCTGTGGGTTCATCACTATACAAGCAGCACCTAGTAATTGTATCTATAAATTATAGACTACTGCAGCTTTAAATTACTACTTTAAACATGATTACGTGTAACCAAGACGTTACACTTTTTGACCAAATGTAGCCTCGTATTAACCAAGGTGACTAGATTTCTTATGAACTGTACATTTCCAAGCCCAGGCTTACTGAACAGTTTTTAGAGTGTATTTACATACAGAAGAGGACAAAAACAGTCTTGTTGGGGTTAAAGACGACTTTCTCCAGAGTCATTCCCACCAGCTCCTTCACCGGCTGTTTGTCCCAACCTTCAGGTATCGGCTCACTCTGCATCCTAGGCTGTTACATTAACACAGACATGAACACGTTATTTATTTCAGCACAAGCCGTTTTCTCCTGCTTCTGTTATTTTTCACACATTAGACGTGAGAGAGTGAATGTTACCTTAGCCTTGCCCTCTAGGTAGGACTGGCAGAATGTTTTTATGGTTTCTACATCCAAAGTTTCAGAAGGCAGGTGATAGGTCACATGGTCTGTCAGGTTGACCATTCGGATGAGTGGAGCCTCAAAATCACGAACCCGGAAGTACTCCATTAGCCTGCCATTACGGGGCTCATCCACGTTCACCCACACAAATAAAATCTAAACACACACACTTGCAGAGATGAAGTACTGTACTCGTAACATCTTGCAAGAAGATTATTCTAATATGGTTGCAATGCTGCTGTTTGAAATAATTTACCTTCAACCTGAATGCTGTAGCAGCACTGTTAAAACCAGAGTAGATCTCTTTAAAGTCAGCAGAGCTTTTGTTGACAAACAGGAGGGCGTGGTTTAACACAGGTGCTGTTAATATCTGATTGGCTGTCTGCAAAAGAGACAATAACATACATACATATCAAAAAAATTAGGTTATGTGTGTCTAAATAGTGCACCCTGTATGAATTACTGCTGAATTAAATCTCAGCTGTGTTAGTAGCTGCCAGCTTGTGTCTTTCCCTGGGAAATCTAACTTTTTAGAAGATTGAAAGAAGGCAATGCCAAAAAATGTAGAATGTAAATGTAAAAAATACTTTTACTTTTTACTTCTTTTGTTCAGTGTTTATTCAAGTTACAGTACAGAAGTTAAAGTAGACTTATGGCAGTCAAAAGTGATGTAATACAATGTGATATGATGTAAAACAACACAATACTCCACCCAAAATGTTTTAAATTTCAAAGACTTTTCCCCTGTTCACACCATGCATTTCAGTAGCAACAATATGACTTTTATTTTATTTTATTTTGTGTCTTTTGGGTGGCCTGTCCAATTAGGGTGTAGATTTTAAATTTGAGAGAACAAAAATCCACAAATCATGTTAAACGTTAGACCTTAGATGGGGAAAAACCTCCTATTTTTTATATTCATTGAAAGAGATATTTGACCTTCAGATTTTCATCCTAAAAACATGCCAACTGAAACCTATAGAAAATCTTCAGTGTATTGATACAGCGAAGTAACCCATCTTAGTGAGTTTAAATTCAAACTTTTTTACCCGAACTTGGCAGTAGAGAAGTCATATGACTGTGAAAATGTACCTTGCATCTAATACTCTACCTGACCAGTGTACTCAGTCACTGGGTCCATCTGGTAGACGGTGATAAAAACGACCAGCTCCTCTTTGGATGTCTGAGGCATCATTTTGTAAGCCTGGATGAGCTTAGACTGCAGCAGATACACACACACACACACACACACACACACACACAGGGAAGAATGCAGTGAACCTCTGGTCTTGAACTACTTTATACATTAATACCTTCCACCAGCTTTATGTGATGCTTTAATGATTTAAATCCTGTCTCTTGCATCGAGTCGGTATATATACAGCTTGTCATATGTGTGTGTTTGTATGTCATATTTAAAGTACCTTTTTGAGTAGCAGTACTACATCATATGTGACACCATATTTGCTGATAACTTCATTGTTCTGTGTCACAGCAAAGTTAACATCAGGAAGGTCGATCGCTGCAGCGTAGAACACCTGGATGTACTCGTTGTTCAGCTCCTGCACACAAACACACACGCACACAAAATATCATTCAGATAATTGATTATAGTCACAACACCAGTGAGAAAGTGGGAATCTATTCATAATAACATTAATCACCTTAAAGAATCCAACCACTGTCAGTTCCTCTGAGACCTCGGAGTGGCTAAGATCAGTGATGAGGTCAGCAGCAGACCCAGCCCTCCTCTTCAGCCAGGTCAAGATGGAAGCCGAGCTCTTAGGAGCTTAATCACAATCCAGGAAAACAAGTCATATTTAAATAGTAAAATAGTATAGTTGACAATAATAAATACTTAATAAATAGTTAATAGTAAATTATTAACTATTGAGCAAGAGTCAGAAGATGCTTAGCTTAGCATAAAGACTGGAAACAGGGGAAAACAGCTTGCCTGGTTTTCTCCAAGTAAGTAAAATATCTGCCTAAAATTATAAATCTCACTAGTTTACATATTATATCTCATTTGTTTAAAGTACAAATGAGTTGTGTTTAATGGGAGTTGGGTGCTGGTACTATTTTTTACATGACAACAACTTTTTCTGTAGGAGGACGATTTGATTTCAATGTAACTGATGCACACAGCTGCTATATTTGCTTGTTAAATCAGCGATACACATGATGCAACCTGATCTCAGAAATACGTGAAATGCATGATGAGGTATGTTGCAGTTATATAAGGAATAGACAAGAAGGCGACAGAGTTTCTAATTCAATTTTATTCATATAGCGCCATTTCATATCAAGAAGCAAAAAAATCAAGTCTGCTGTTGCAGAAGAGAATATTATTGTCAATTGTTGAACAAACAAGAAACATGAAGAAATGGAAGGCTAATTACGTCAATAAGAAATAATTTAAGTGATCAAGAAAATATTTATTGAATACTGTGCTAGCTCAGTGTAGCAACAGATGGCAAGTGGCACGAGACTTGCTTGCTAACGTTTGCAAGCTAGCTAGAAAATTAGCTAACTAGCAAATTAGCTATCTCAGCCTATCAACTGTATTCTCTCACGTAAATCTAACTTTTAACAAATCATGTTTTATTGTATGATGTTGAAGCAGGATTATTTTAACAATATTAACAATATTAGCTAATGTAGCCAGAACAGCCAGGTTAATGCTGATGATCTGTAAAGGAATAAGATCATATAGGATATAATGTTATATACATGGACAATATATATATATATAAGTTTAATGTATTAATTAATTAATATTATTACATGGTTGCATTACCACATTATCACGAGAAATGATTCACCACCCTACAGCTACGGCTCTCAAAGTTAGTTAGTTATCAGGAACAAAGCTTCTATGAAGGCGCTTAGTTCTTAGTACATTGATAAATTACACCTCCATTAACTGATAATAATGTAGGTCTACGTATAAAGGATACTATTTGCACGTACCAGGACAGAACACAGGGTTGTGTTTATCTCCGGAAAGGTACAGCCTGATTGTGGGAAGTCCTGTCGCATTGAGTTCTTTAGCGAGGTCCTTCTCCTTTGTCACATCAAGCACTGCCAGTTTGACCTCTGACCCCTGAAGCTCTGCAGCAGCACCTTCGAAGGCTGCTGAGACTCGATAGCCTTCTCCAGACAGAGGAGCATCTACATGCACGTAGGAACAGACACACGCAGTGAGTATACATGAGGATGCTATTTGGCTTTGTCCAAAGATACAAACCACTTAGTCGCTCTTATGGTGTCATTTTTATGCTTAGCCTGTACTAACATATAGGTCAAGATCAAGCTGTGTGTGTAACTTACAGAAGTGCACCAGCAGCTGTTTATGTTTTCTCAGTACCCTGTTGAAATTTCCTTTCTTCAGCTGTAAAACTCCATCCTTCTCAGGGGATGATTTGTCTGCCTGTGTGTCAGCGGCGACAAACACACAGAGACACAAGGTCGTCGCCCACAGCAGCAGCAGTGTCCTCATGACGGTTCACTCACAGACTGACAAACTGGCCACTGGAACAAGCTTGACAGACGGTAGGGAAGGAGTGGTGAAAGGTAGGACAGAGATATATATATGTGTGTATGTGAATCAGTGCTGAGCTGGTAGTTGTAAATGCTTTTGTTATCTGCCGACTAGGCCCACAAGTCTGTAGCTGATTAACTTTCCTATCTGAGCCCTGTTGTATGTCTGCTATTGGTTGCTGTTCATATCAAGTATATCACTAATATCTAAATGCCCTTTGCCTAAAACTGTTAGCCTGAACAAGGTCAAAATGGAAGCACAAAAGCATATGCACACACCAATCACACACACATTATGCTCAAGCACTCAAACATATGCGTGTTCATATGCAAAAGCCACCCACTTGCACATATTTTGAAAAAATAAAACTACTTTACAGCTTTGTCAAAGTAACCAGAGACCATTTTTATTTCCCTATCAACATGATAGAATGATAAATAATAACATGAAAACATTTTGATTAAAAAACAGGAGGCAGGGATGCTGGACCACGACAGGTAAAGCAGGTGCATCAATCAGTCACTATATTGAAGGGCATTGACTCAGCAGTACTGGCACCACATGTTTCCTTCAACCACAACCTTCACCCTGTTTTCTATACCTGGTGCGGTGATATCATTAAAGGAATACATCAAGAATTTGAGAAATACACTTCGCTTTCTTGCAGAAGTTTATAGGAGAAGATTGAAAATCTTGTTGCTGTGCTGTGCTGTGTCTGGTATATTATGAAGCTAGAGGCTTTACATAGAGACATGAAACAGCTGACCTGGTTCTGTCCAAAGGAAACAATGCCTGCCAACTAACATCTCTAAAGCACACTAATTTACTAATTAAGTTATATCTTGTACAAAAAAAGACTGTAATTACAAGACGTCAAGATGGAAAAAATGTTCATCAGCTTCAGAGTTGTAATTCGCAGTCAAGAAATATTGGGGAGTTCTTTTTTGTGCGTGTTGATTAATAATAAAGTAAAGTGCAAGGTAAGAGATTAATAGCCCTCTCCTGACTGCAGCTTCACATATGGACACACAGACATTCTCATCTAACTCCTAGCAAGAAAGTTATAAGATGATAAGAATGGAATTAAATGGAAAACAAAATCACTTTAATAATCAGCTTCATTGACTGGAGTTGTACATGATGTAAATGATATACCAAAGTATGCGTCACAACAATAACATAGATAATAACAAAGACACCATTTGTATTGTTTTTTACCTTGTAAATTTGAGTCACAGTATACACAGTTGAAGAGTTTGAATCCTAGATAGCACTTTAAACTTCAGTAATGTATATTTTCTTGCAGCAACCAATAAATGTTGCTATTGCCTTTTTGTATTCAAACTTCCGTCAATCAATTTGAGTTGTAGCAGACTGTACCTTAAAGGCACTGCACAACCACACAGGTATGTTGCATCAGGCCAACTAGCTTCCATGTATAATAAAGATGATAACGATGTTATTTGTCCTGCCCTAATAGGTGCAATAAAACTAAAGGAAGCGCAGGTGAGATGTCAGTGGAGTGGTCTGTACACGCCCACACATTCCAGACAAAAGGTCTAATCAGTCAAATCAACTGTGTGGGTTTACCTTGGCTATGCAGGGCCTTTAAAAGAAGAATTGTGCAGAAAAATAAATTACAGCATGTTAAGTCAACATGATTCACAACAGGCTTTCTTATCTGGCATTCAAGCCTGGAAAAGTTGCCCCCTTCATCATTAAAGTAAAAACAAGTGTTAGCTGTATCTGCATTAGAAAGCGAAGTATTCAAGATTTTGTTCTTTTAGTTTTTAAATATATAAAATACAATATCATAAAAATACAGAATGTCCTAGACATTGTTATGATAATCATAAATTTCCTCTGTTTATCTTTGCTTAGTCTTTTGTCTGCACTCATTAATGTAAAGCGTAAAGGTGCACTTTTGGGGTGGATTCAGTAATGTCAACCTTTAATAGCCATTAATTTGATTTTAAAACTACATTACATTCTTACAAAAGGTCAAAACCGTAATAAAACATGTTCTTGTCTAGTTTCCTTCTATGTATCAGAAAAACTTGTCTGCTTGTGAAGAATGCCTTAAAATGTTATGTGTGTCAACCCAAACCATCCCATCTGTCAGAGATGAAATATGATCAGAAAGATAAAATTAAAATGAAAATCAGATCTTTTTGGTATCATGTACTTTTGCTGTTAAAAGATTGGAATTTTGTCCTTCAAAGCAAAAAGCAGTGGTGAGTTTGAATTTCATAGGATCCCAACTCTGACATCTTTTAACATCTCAAACAGCATAAAGTGCAATTTATACTTCTGCGTCAAATCGACGGCGTAGGTGACGGGGCTGTGCAGAGGCTACGGCGTCGCCTGACGTGCACCTCCTCCAAAATGTAACTACACGTCGAGTCGACGCAGACTGTAAGCTCTGTGATTGGTCGGCTGGGTAGCCTCGTAATGCCTCTGCGCAGACCGGAAGTACCCCGCGCTTTAAAGTAACATTTACTAGCGGCCAAAATGGCAGCTGTAACACAGTGAATCAATATATTTGACTGTCGCAACCCCGCAACTCGTTTCGCTATCAGAATGTGATCCATTCGGTCGGTAACATTTGAAAAGGCTACACCAGCCGCACGTTTACAATTTTACCCCCATTCACGTTAGCGGAGCGCTAAACCGAAAGTTAGCCTGCTCGGCTGGCAAAAGTCAACACAGTGGACGCTGTAGCGCTACTGCCGACTAGCGTTTGGAGGTGTAATTGCAGAATGACGGACACACAAGTATAAATGCATGGCTACGTGCATAGCCTACGGCGTAGGTACGCACGTAGACCCTACGGCCTTAAGCCACTCCTCTTTCCATCTCTATGTTCAGTATATAGTGCATAAACCTGAGATCACACACTCATCACACACATTATTACCTATACACACTGTGTAACTTTAACAGTTTACAGTCCTAGTTTATAAAACAGTTTACTCATCCATATTGTGAAAAAAACTGAACAAGAGAACAGGAGGAGACTTATTAATACTGACAGTGTCAACTTCTGTGTGTGTGCAGATGGATGTTGCACTGTGGGCAGGAATGATGTGCATCTTGTAGGCCACGTATCATGAGCGGGATCAGACAGAAACCGCAGAACAACCTGAAACACACACACATGCAGAGAGGTTTAAGCTGGTTTAGCACTTGGGTGTGTGTCTGTATGAGGGATGAAAAATTACTTTAGTATAAATGTATTACATTATGATATAGGCCTACACATTAATAAATGAAAGATAAAAAAAAGTTTATCTTTATATGAGCACCATCAATTGCACCTAGTGCTCCTGTATTGCCGGTTATTTGCATGAACTGTGTTTGCTTCTGTCGGATTACGGGGGGTGGCAGCGACCAGACCACTGACTTGGCTACAACCTCCTTTGTCTCTGCTAATCTCTGTCAGGAGAGACAAAGGAGGGAGAAGATTGGATACCTTGTAATTACACATTCTTTTCATAAAGTCATAAACTGACCAATCACAGTCTGGATGGGGCGGGAGAGTAAGAAAATGTTTGACACACTACAGCAAACATTAGAAATGTTGAACTCGTTCTGTACAAATAGTTATCAGCAAATTAAGGATTAACAACCATGTAGACAATTTTTGGAGGTGAGCAAAAAAGTATATAAATTATAATGAACACAAACATTTGCCCTAATCAAACCTAAACCACAGTAGTGTAATATGATCATAAAATAATTTTATTTGTTAGACAGTTGAATTATTTAATTTCAATTTATAAGGTGTTGAGATGTTACAAATATTTTATAAACTATCTGTAGGCAGACTATCCAAATAAAGTATAACCTAAAATATATTACCTGTATACTTTTATTTAATGGTATTGTGCTGCTTTATTAGTTAGATATTTTAACTTGGTACTTAGCATGGAGTTCATCTGCCTGTCAATTCATGCAAGGCGTGTGAAGAGGACAGAACAGGTATAACATTATACTAACACACTTTCCGGAGTAATTCTAGTCTGCACCAACAGTGGAGGAATCTTATGCTAGCTGTTGTTGTAAAAAACATGGAAGAATCCATGTACTTTGACACTGAATATGTTTGATAAAGGAATCTACTGTGTAGCTAACTTGTGTCATGTAGATGAATCGCTTGCTTCTGTCTGGTTTGCGATGCGGCCCCCAGCTAATCAATCCTGTTTCAGACTGATGTTGGCACCACCCACTCAATTAGCATACAGGCGCAGGCAAAAATAAATGTTGAAATGTGGAAATACAGGCATAAATAAATGGAGAAATGTGGAAATGCTAAATAAATAAATGTAGAAATAAATAAATAAATATAGATATAAATGTAGAAATAAATGCATGTAGAAATGCATAAACAATAGAGAAATAAATACAGAAATAGCCTTTTTTTAATTACAAAAATATATTTAATTTAAATTTATTTATGTATTTAATTATTTATTTCTGCATTTATTTATATATTTATTAATTTATACTTAATACATTTTTCATTCCTCAAATGTCTGTGTGTCTTACCCCACCAAGATGAGAAGTATACACAGGCACCAAGCCGCCCCCCCAGGCATGTATGTGACTTTAGTCCTGACAACATGTTGGCAGTGTGGGCAGCGCACCAAACCGGGAATGTCCCTCAGATGTGTCACTGAGATAGGAACAGGCTGCGGCTGAGGCTGGGTCACAACTGTCGGAGTTTGTATGCAGCTGACACCAACTGGTATTCAGAGTGCACGGGAAGGACAGAAGAGGACATCAGAAACAAAATACAGAAGCAAATAAAACATTATTATTTTCATTTGCCCAGTTATTTTGAATGTATGATTTTAAAAGCAATAGTAAAGATGTAGTTTTAATACTTTGTGTAATTGGATGGATTATGATTCCAGTGTTTTGTGAAGGTGATGTCACAGCAGTTGGCACCCTGGGTGGAGTCAGGACAGGAAAAGGATCTGGCTGAATTGTAACTACAAAAAAAAAAGTTCACATTAAGCCGGTTAAATTTGTAAATGCATCTTTTTCTTTGTTTTTCAGTCCTCCTTCAAGACTAGCAGCAATTTTCTTCCTCCAAAACAGAGCTTTACCAAAATTTTCTCCAGGGTTTAGATATCTTAAAAAATCCTGCTTGGTGTTACAGTGTGTACGGGCTAAATGGAGCTTTCGCAAAACACTGATGTAAGCCAGCCCAGTGAGGGTTGGAGACTGTGTGCCAGTAAAGTTAGGAAGACAACCTTTAGTCGCCTCTAACTTTCTCTGGGAATTAATAACAATTTCATACCCGTTCAGTACAGAAACAGAAAACTAAACCTACTATTATGCACTATTCACTTTACCATGAAATTGGCTCCATTAAAACCACAGAGAACAGGCACTGAACTGAGGTGTCATGGGCAGCATAGTGACTTTTTCTGTGGTCACACATTTTAAACGTCAATACACTTTATCATACAGTACAGTCATTAATGAAGACATAAAGATTTGGTAAGGTGGGCTGTCTGTCCCAGTCCTTCCCAGGGCAGCATTCAGCTCAAGTGGCAACCTCTGGGTCTGAAAAGTGAAGCCAATACGGAAGTGCCCTAAACCTGCATTTATTCCGATGGCCAGCAGGGGGCGACTCCATTGGTTGCAAAAAGAAGTCTGATTGCATTGGAGTCTATGACAAAATGACCCTATTTCTCATTTAGAGGAAAACAGATGATAAAGCAGGGTATGCTTTTGGGTATGACTACCTTGTGATTGACCAGTCGCTACCAGGGCGACTGGTCAGTGCATTTAACAGTGCATTACAGCAAACTTGCGGTCAGCAGCCCGGTTACTTTGTTCAGTCTGAGCTCCTTAATACTCCTTTCTGTCCCCTCCTGCTCTCTGTAATCATCTATACTGTGTTTCAGTACAGTTTAGTGTTACAATTT